TCCGTCGTGGTCTGTCCGTCCTCGTATCGTACGTGTCTCCTCCTCCTCCTCCTCCTCCTCCTCCTCCTCCTCCTCCTCCTCCTCCTCCTCCTCCTCCTCCTCCTCCTCCTCCTCCTCCTCCTCCTCCTCCTCCTCCTCTAACCAAAGGTTGACGCAGCTCTCCACATCATCAACCTCGCCATGTCCGGCTCGCCTTCTCCTTCCCCTTCCTCCTTGACTTGGGTGCAGATGGTTTCTCAGCGTCTACATCACGACCATGCAGCGAGCCTTCTTGGAGTACGACTCCTTCTTTCTTGAGGTTGGCACGACTTGCCCTCTCCTCCCCTCACCTCCCCTCAGGCCATGGCGCATTCCAGCAAAAGTACGCACGGAGACTAGCAGGTTTTCAACGAACTTTACATCAAGGATAAGAAGGATATCCCGGTACCTCCCTTGCTCCTCCCGCTACACAGCGTCTGCTAGCACCTCTTGCCTCCTCTGCCTCTACTCTCTCATGATATGACCTTCCTCCACTGCCCGTCGCACATAAAATCCATCAGGATCCATAAAGGGGCTGCATGGTGTCCGATCAGCGTGTACAAGTCCTGATATGCACCTTGGCGCATGGACGCTTCGAAGTCTTTCATCGACATTTCATGCAGAGATCTCCTCCTCATCGCGTCCGCCTTGGCCTGCATCCCGCCTGACGATCTCATGTTAGCGTGTCATGAAAACAACGGATTGCACGAGCAGGATTCGTGTGGACACGGAAGACAGCGAGGTAAAAGGACTGATGGCAGATGATTCGAAGTTGGAGCTTCGTTGATAGAAAGGCAGCAGGACCACGAGCAGTGAAGCTAACGTTAGCGCGAGTACGAGTAGAGGCAATGGAGCAAGAGTTGAAGCACTGGAACGGTGGAACACTGGAGCAAGAGCAGGGGGCAGGGGGCAGGGAGCAGGGAGCAGGGAGCAGGGAGCAGGGATCAGGGAACAGGGAGCAGGGAGCAGGGAGAGGGAGAAGGAGCAGGAGCAGGGAGCATGAGCACGAGCACGAGCACGAGCAGGAGCAAGAAATTGAGCTCTACGTCAACGTCGCGCATCGCATTTTCGGAATCAACGTCGGGGCAGGGGGTACTGATACAAACTTGGGGGGGGTAGGAGGTGACGAGGGTGAGGGTCACGGTTGGGGTAATTTCAGTAAATGAAGGGGTGGTTGACTATTGTATTGGGGTAGGGTAGTTTGATATGTCTCAGAGTAGGGTGGGGTGGGTCCGGCCCCATTTGGTGGTCAGGAAAAAAGTGGACTGATCCAACATGGCGGTTACGAAAATCGCTGCCGTTAAATGAATCCTGAAATCTTGACATGAATTTGGGAAATTTTAAATATAAAAGCAGATATTTGAAATACATTTGAGGTACTGAAAACTGCAAGAGAAACAAAAACATCAAACTTGACGTGCTGTCTATTTCCGTCATGTTCGCCACTGTGCGCGAGGTAAGAACAATGGCGATCTTGCTCCCCGGAACGAGTTGATTGCTCTTCTCCTCCTCCTCCTTCTCCTCCTCCTGTTGGTACTGCTTCTGAGTCTACCGTTACTGCTTCCGCTGCTTCTCTTTTGCCAGTGCTGCTTCTGCTCCTGCCATTTGTCTTCAGGGCTGCCGAAGATCATAAATTGACTCAGAGTACTTGTTTTGCTCCTCGCCTTCTTTCTCATGGTCCAATTTCGTCTACCTTTAGCCTCGGAGGCATCTGCTCCTTTTCCTCCTTTTCCTTGAGATCTGCTCTGTCTCCCGATTTCTGAGCTTTCAATCCCCTTCCCTTACTTCAAGGCTGCTGCTCTGGCGTGCTCCTCCCTCTTAATCTTGTCGCTTCCACTTGCCCTGCTTCTTAACACAAATCTGCTTCCTGTTCGGTGAAGGGGCTGCTCTTGCTCCTACCGTCCTTCTGCTTCAAGCAGATCCTCTGTTCTCAGTGACTCCTTGTTCCTCTACCCATTGAGCTGTTTGATTGCAGCAGTGCGTGAATTTTCTCCTTTGTTGACCTGCCTCAGTCCTTTGTCGTTACCGCATCAAGTTCATTTGGAAAATTACGCTGAGCAGTGTAAACAGGTGCAACGTCTCGTCAGTTCCACAACTGGATGCGATCCCAATGGAAACTATCACGACAGCGACATCTTCTTCGGCAACAATGATCCAAACAACAAGATTGCACAGTACATCCCTTCGCAAGAGTCCTGTGACTCAAGTGTTGGCTAACCTTTGATTCCAGAGCCGGCGTGAAGGTGGATGACTGGGGAGTGCTGAATGAGATGTTCGGAGGTCACTTTTCTGACTATCTTCGAAGCTGAGTGTTTTGAGAGTATCTTCCTTGTTTTCAGGTGTAGAGGATGATAGGTGCATCGCTTCCGATTCTTGAACTTAAGTCTGCACAAGCCCTGCAGCAAGTACCACCGTGAGTCCGACAAGCCTGCGCCGCCGCACGGCGTCACGCCGATCTCGAGTCATTAAAAAGTCCAACTTGACTCATCATGCCATCGACTGCAGAGTGACGGCCACCCATTCATACTGAGTACTGTGGCCGCCAGTGAGCCTTTGTCCGGAGTCCCGGTGGCACAGCGGCGGCCCTTGTCCAGCTCAGTGCCCGACCGTCGCCGGCGCGGCGTCGACTGGTCCGACCGTCTCGGATATCGGTTTACTCAAAGTTAAGTTAAGATCTCGGCCCCTCGGCGGATCATCGGACTCGGGACTCGATCGGCATATGAGTCTCGAGCCTAGTACTACTGACCCGGCGGGTCCGGCACGGCGGCGCAGCATGGCACTCGGCGCTGACTCGGCGGCGGGCTGGTATGGAAGGGGATGAGGCTCCCGGTCTCGGAAAGATGCGGCGCTCCGCATGGGATGGGATGTGGTGGCGGGAAGTGCAGGAAGGCCAAGAAGAGAAGAGGGAGAAGAGAGGGAGAGAGACAGAGAGGAGGGGAGGGTAGGAAGGAGGGTAGGAAGAGAGACAGATAGACAGAGAGATGGCGAGCAAGGAAGACAAGAAGGAGGGGGGGGGGGGGGGCATTGACGAAGGGAGGGTTGGATCGAGGCACACAACGATAATGTGAAGCTTGTGGCTTACAAGTGTCGGGCATGTTTGACTCCAGCGATGAAAGCTCGTCTGATAATGCTCAGATGTGGAGAAGCTGTGCTCTTGTCCTGCTCCTGCCCTGCCTCTCAACAGCTCTGGTAACTCGTTCCCTATCATACCTTCGCTCCTTGACATGGATGCAGATCCCACTCCCTTCGCTCTCAGTACGAGTCGATCGGGTTGCTCGGGCAGACTCTGGCAGCTTTACTACTTCGCATGCTCTGCATCGATTCTCGAATCGGTACAAGTTCGAAGGTGCAGCATGGCCAGTGAGAGCGAGGAGGAGATTTGATTGCATTGCAGACAAGGAGTCTATCCGAGCTTTGCGGGGTGGTTCATCCTATGCGCAAGATTTCTCTCCTCAGGTGCAAACTAGGACTCGAATCCTCTGCGTGACAAGGCTTTACAGCTTCCCAAAGCGCTGATGGCTGAGATGCTCGGCACCTGGATGATCGTCTTCTTGGGGACGGCTGCTGTCGCTACAGCCAACTTTGCGGTCGCTTGTGCGAGATAGTTGGTGAGGTCGCTGAAGCTGCTCCAGAAAGCTGAGATCGCTGGCCTGCTCGGCATCGCATGCTGCTGGGGGATCGCGGTGGCGGGAGCCGTGTCAGCATTCGCCAAAGTCTCAGGGTCGCACTTTAATCCAGCCATCTCCATCGCCCTCGCGTGGTACAAGGGAAAGTTCGGCACCCCTCTCACCATCCGCAGTCGGTATCATCTCCACCCCTCCCCTGACCCCCCTCTTTACTGCCTCCCTCCCCTGGACACCTCTCACCCTCGTCGCCGCCAATCAGGACATGGCTGCCTCTCTACATCCTCGCCCAGCTTGTCGGAGCTCTCTGCGCGTCGGGCTGTGTAGCTCTTCTGTACAAGGTAGGGGGACGTGAAGTTGGAGCGTCCTAAGTTTCTCCAGAGCTCGTTTGCAGCTCTTCCTCTCAGTGCAGCCCCGGCTGCGATGGGGTGTTACCCTTCCAGAGCCTTTGGATCTGCCGAGTGAGGGTGCGATGACAGCCTTGCTCGTCGTGACCAGCTCTCCTTCAGGACTTTTGCAGCTGAACTGCTCGGCACTGGCCTTCTCGCGTTCGGGGCAATCTCACTTCAGTCAGCATGGTGCTCCAGTCGTTGTGTTTGAACTCCCGTTGACTTGAACATCCTCAGGCAACTGGGAGCTTGGCTCGCCACCTTGATCGTCGTCTTCGCTCCTATCAGGTTCGAGGCCCCTCGCCCGACTCTCGGACCCTTCTTGACCTCTCTCCAGCGGCGCAAGTTTCAATCCTGCAAGAGAGCTTGGCCCTCGTATTGTGTCCATGCTCATGGGTTTCGACGCGAGCAAGGTCTGGATGATGGCTGCGAGTTTGACTGAGACCTGAATGCGAGCTCATCCACCAGGTTCTCACACCTTTCCTTCCCGTCTACATCCTGGGGCCCATTTTGGGCGCTGTCATCGGCGTGTGGGTCGCAAGTTCTGTAGCTAAGAATTAGAACCTCCGCCGCCCTTGTCAAGAAGTTCGGAAGTTCCATCGGCTCACCGTCAGTCTCAAGGTCGTGGCATAAAACTTAAATCAACTTTCATCAGCAGTGACACTGAGTCACGTCACGTGTGACTCGCTGTGACCATTGGCCGAACTTTGAACTCGGAGTTCTACCCGGCCCTGAATCCAATCCGATCGAGTACCGGCCGTGAGTGCTGGTGCCACGTTGACTCCGACTCGACTCGCGGTGACGGAGGCTCTGCACGGTCAAGTGTCACGGATGCCGCAGTGCCGTGCCCCGCTCGGAGTGCGCAGGCCCCGGGCGGCCCGCCGCGGGTCCCGGCGCCGGCCCGCAGTCACTGAGTCACGGGGCCCCATTGCCTTTGAAGTGGTGGCGGCGGCCCGGGGCCCCGCGGGCCGACCATAGCGTTGTCGAGTCACTGAGTCAGACCGTCCCGGGCCACCGGGGCCCGCCGCCCCGGCGGAGCCGCTGAGGGCCGCCGGGTTGGTCGCCGCCGGACTCAGTTCACTGCTTCACAGTCATGACTTTGAATTGAATTTTTCGGAGTTCCGAGCGCGGGGGTCGCCAGTTCAGAGTCGGGCCCTGGCCGACCGTTTGGCAGGCCCGGGCCGGGCTCCAGTCAGTGATGGCCGTACGCCACGTCACCTTCCGAGGCGGACTACTTCTTAAAATATAGTTGGTCCTCTATAGTACAAGTATTATAATATATTGGTTTTACTAGGTACAGATTAAAACTCCATCCACCCCTCCTTCGGTAGAATTCCACGATACTCAAGTATCTAAAATCTTTTATAAAGCTACCAAGGAGTTTTACATTTTAAAACTGTCTCCACCTGCCCACCCGATGCGTGCAAGTCCTCCTCGACCCCCTCCCTCTCTCCCCCTTCTACTCTCTGTCTCTCCCCTCCTCTTTCCTTCGCTCCTTCCCCCCAACATACGGGAGATCTGGTCACAGTTTCCCCTGCCTCGCTCTGATGCTTTGTTCTCAGCATTCTGCTCTCCTCCGCGCTCTTCCCAACATCAATGGTTCTTTCCTCCCCTGCGTTTGATCGCCACTCCCCTCCTCACATGAAAACAATCAGCAAGATCACTTCTATGAGATCTCCCTCACCATATTCTGCTTCACACGCTGGCCTGCACAGTGACAATGGGGTCTACCAGGTGGCTACCAACATTCTTGTCATGCGCGGGAAACATCTGCTCGTTCTCTCACTCGTGGCCCTCGTCCTCTTCTTTCCGAGTGTCAACTGTAAGTCCCGTGGCGTGTGAACGTCCGTTGAGCAGTCATATCAGGCAAGAAGAAGGAGAAGAAGGCCAAGGCTGCCGTGAGCTTGAGTCCGGCGAAGCTTTCCAAGTGAGACGGTTCCTGTGAGGAGGAGGGGAGGGTGAGGTGGTCGTGTCGTCAGATACATCAAATGCGATGGGTGCAAGATCATGGCAGACAACCTGTACAGACACGCTATGGATCTGCTCAAGGTCATGAAGGAGCGAGGTCGCAAGTAGCTTCCGCTCACAGTGGTTGCAGGAGAAGGGAGGCCGGGAGAAGATGGGAGAGGAGCCGATCCTGGAACTGCTGGAACAGATCTGCGATCAGGTCTGTTGTCGACGAGGGACGGAAGAGGGAAGGAGCAAAGGAGGGAGGGCGAGGGAGAGAGGGTAGGGAATGGGGAAAGGGAGGGAGCAGAGGAGCGAGGGAGGGGAGAATTTAAACTTCTGGCTTATATTCACTCGTGGCAGGGGGAGGCGAAGGGCGAGTGGCTCAACGCTTACGATGTGGTTAGTCTCTCACTGCTTGCGTGCGGCCTCTTCTGATGCTGGTGGGGGGCAGGTTGGGAAGAAAGGAAAGATCTCTCTGCAGAAGCAGGACGGTTTCCAGTCCTGCGGCCCTGAGTGCCATGCGCTTGTGTCGGTCTGCGAGCAGGTAAAGGAGAGGAGGCAGCTGGCAGGATCATGGATGATTGAAGGAGAGGACGAGAAGAGGAGGGGAGGAGGAAGAGGGTGTATGGCTCATACAGGTGAAGGTGAGAAGCGAAGCGGGAGAGTCGGACATCGCGGAGAAGATCTACCGAGGACATCACATCGCGTCCGCTGAAGCTTTCTCGGAGGTGAGCATCAGCTGATGGTGCGTGAGGTGACCAGCTGGTGTAGGCGATCTGTAAGAAGATGACCACGTCCTGCAAGGAGCCGCTGCCGAAGCTCAAGGTAGAGATAACGGGGAGAGACCGAGGGAGACTGAGTGAGAAGAGAGGGAGCAAGCAAGGATAAGCAGAGATAGGTAGACGAAGGCGAGGCGAGGCGAGGCGAGGTGAGGCGAGGAGGGCAGGAAGGCGAGGACAAGGGAAAAGGGCGAGCGAGCAGGTTGAGATCGGCCAGTGGGTGATCATGACGAGTATGAGGTAGGATCCGCGAATCGACGAGCCTTTCAATGCCATCGACTCCAAGAAGGTGAGGGAGGGAGCGGGTGCGTCTGTCCCATGGGTTGACCTCCTTGCAGTGGGAGGCGATGAAGATGCAGAAGATGATGAAGGTGAGGGAGGAGGAGGCAGAGTCTGAGCTCCTTCGTTCCTTACCTTGTCTCCTCACAGGGAATGGGCATGAAGGGAACCATGTACGACCGGGACTCACTCAAGGTCTGAGGAGGCGGAGCGTCCGACAGAGTTGCTGATCAGCAGCGGGCAGGACATGATGGAGGAGAATGGGATGGACATGCCTCCTCCTAAAGGTGAAACTGCCGCAACTGTCCACTGATTGGCCCCGCATGATCCCATGCGGCAGAAGCTGACGACGAGGAAGAGGATGAGGAGGAGGACGAGCAGCCCAAGAAAGAGAAGAAGAAGGCTCCAAAGAAGCAGCCGAACGGGTAATGGAGGAAGGGATTGGAAACTTTGACGTACCTGACTATCCTGGCAGAGTTGTCGAGCAGGTGTTGGACGGCGTCTACACCGTCCTTGACACCATGTCGGAGGTGGCATCCTCCTCCCCCTTCCCTCGCCATGCCCTGCCCTCCACCACCACACCACCACAACCTCCACCCCCTCCTGCTCTACGTTCCTCCTCCTCCTTGGACCCTCCATCCTTCACGCACTCTCTCGGCTTATGGCTTGTATGTATTGCTTGCACTTACTGTTCTACCTGCAGTGGGCTGACACCCTAACGGGCTACGCCATCGACTCCGTGAAGCAGGTGAGGGCGAGGCGAGAGGACGGAATACAGGAAGGCGCAGACAGACAGTGGAAGAGGGGGGATGGGAGGAGGTGGCGGCGGCGGTGGTTGTGGACGAGGAGGAGGAGGTAGTAGCATGTAATGAGACTTTCCTCTCAGGTGATGGGCGTTTCTTCATCACCGGACAAGCACGACATGGACATGGAGGATGCTGAGCTGTAACCCCATGAATGATTTTGGTCTCCTTCGTGCCTTCTCCCGCCTCCTCCAACCCTTAGCTCGCATCAACCACCAATTGCTCCTCTTCCCTGCGCATTCCCAAGCTATCCCAGCCCCGACTGACCTTCATTTGAATTCCCCATCCTCCGTCCGCCGTTGTTCTCGACTTGCGAATCGTCACTCCTTTCTATTCGTTGAACGGGAAGGCGAGCAGTAGGGGTCGTCGTCGTTATCGTTGTCTTCATCTCCCTCTCCTCATCTTGCCTGTCATGTTAGTCGTTCCTCTCATATCATGCTCTACCTTCAGACCTCTTCATATACTTCGGTCGAGTCTCCCGTCCTCCGCCCCCCAAACTCCATCGTCAGTTTTGTCCCCCGAAGGAATGACCACCCCTACTTTAATGGTTCAATATACCGGTAGTGGAATGCTTCCTACTTTACTCGGTTTCCGGACTACCCCCTACGCCTCCCTACGCTACTACCCCTTGAAAAGGTGTACAAGGGTGATTTTTATTTTTTTTTATTAGTTGGGGCACCAGAGGGGTGGGTGGGTCAAGGGGTACTGACAGTTGTGGTGGGGGGTGAGGAAATGGAAGAACTCGTAGGAGGGGGTGGGGAGGGATAGTCACGTCAAGGCTAGGCTTCAGACCGGGTACATTTTCCCTGAAAAATGGATACAAACCAGGGGTAGTACAAAATGCCTGGAATAGGGTAGGGTCATGTTTGCCTTGCGGGTGGTTTTTATCTACTAAAGACCCTTGTGTCTGGAGTCACCTCATAGGTGCAAAAAAATCCAGGGGGTAGGGGGTAGAACCCTACCCCTGAATTGCCATTAAAATTATCTTCTAGTGTGGGGTGATTTTCGTTTGAGTAAAGGGGTAGGCGGATGAATTTACTAGGTAGGGTTGCCACGAGTGAGTGGGTGGGGGGTAGGGTGGGGGTTGCATTGCAAGGACATGGGAGGAAGCGAGGAAATGGAACAGGACAGGTCGGATGGGAGACGAGGACGAGGACGAGGATAAAGAGGAGGAAGCGGACGATGAAGAGCGGAGAAGAGGAAGGGAGAAGAGCGAAGAAAGAGCGAGAAGAGGAGAGGGAACGAGAAACTTGAGAGAATTAGGTTGGTGAAGCAGAGGAAGGGGAAAGTGAAAAAAACAGGAGAGAGCGCGAGGGAACGGAAGATAAGGATGATAGGAGGATACTTCACGTTGGAGGATGAAGAGGATAATGAGGACGAGGGAATGGAATCGCCGAGCACAGTAGATGCAGCGGGAGGATCCGACGAAAGGCAGGGGACGATTGCATCTACTGATCTGCTCAAAGGATCGGGATGAGGTAGGATGAGGAACGATGAATGGAAGCCGATGCTCAAAGCACACGATTGGTTGCTCGTTAGTTTCATGACGGACAAATGCATGCTATGCGACGCCTTCACCGAGTTTGAACTCCATCTCAACCTGTAGAATGATTGTGTAGCATAGTACAGCCAGGGACAGGGAAGGCAAAGAAATTCGTCTCGTCTGACCCACTCCAATCCGCTCTATATGATTATCTTGACTGATATTTGTGGGCAAGGTGGAAAGGGCAACAATTCGATTCGAATAGACGAGGAGGGAGGAGGGCAAATGTCGGAGAAGGAAGGGAAGACATGACAGGAGTATGCCAGTGGATACAAGAAGAATGCTTGAATTCGCTGCTTGACTTGGTTGCGGGAAGTCGGCGACAAAGAATCTGATGATGGAGCTGGTGAGGATCCTCTCTTCCACAAGATAGATGTCAAGTGAGCTTGCTTCAGGTGCGAGATGCTATTCGCCGCCTGCGATTGGGCTTCCTCCAGACCCTCTTCATCAAGGTGACTTCGATTGCTCCCCCTTGCTCCTGCAGGCTTGTGAGCTCTTGCATGCAGTGGTTCGGTCTGGTAAGCTACTCGGGGGATGAGAACGGGAAGGAGGTGGGGAATTCGCCGGAAGAACCAACGGAGAACTCAATTCTCAAGGAGAATTTGGCTGTAAGTTTGTTTGAGAGGAAGCTTGCGATGCATGCTAAATGGCTGTTTCAGGATCTGCGAGCTGAGAATGCAAAGCTCAAACTCAAGGTGGACAAACTCGCGAGGATCGTGACGATGAGGAGGATGAGCGAGAACGATTCGCAAACTGTCAATCAGGATCAGCTTCTGGCCCTCGCCAGGAACGCCATGGTAGGACAAGCTTGCTATGGCTGAGACGTGCGCTGAGAGTCGAGCAGGCGCGGGAGCGGGAGGATGCGACTCTGCACAAGCTTGTCGATACGATCGTTCAGTCAGCGTATCATCTCCTCATGGTCTGCTGCTTGACTGGTAGCCGCGGAGGATAACAGCTCTGCAGGCCCAGCGGATCTCTGTGTTTGTACAGGATGACGTGAACCAGGTGAGACCGAGGCGATAGTTCACCCCCTGACCAGCTGCAGGAGCTCTGGCTGGCTGCCTCCGATGATGCGGTCGGGCTGCGGATCCCCAACAACAAGGGCGTGGCTGGCATGGTGAGCTTGTCCAGCCCTCGTCCGCACCTGATGAGTTCCCCTCAGGTCGCACGGACGATGCAACCCATCAACATCCCCGACTGCCAGGTGCAGCTCCTGCTGCGCTCCTCTCCTCCCTCCTCACGATCCGTCCAGCAATCTTCGCTCTTCGACCCTGCAGCTGACCAGATGACCGGGTAAGCCTCGTCCTCCTTCAAATCGCGCCGGTGACTTGGGAGGATTCGCTCCAGGTTTGTGACGAAGACGATGATCTGTGTTCCCATCACGTGGAACGGGTATTACCTCATCGGAGTTTTCCAAGCTTTGAACAAGCAAGACAATGTGAGGAGGAGGGGAAACAGGCAGAGGGCCAGGGAAGGCGAGGGAGGCAGAACGAGGGATGGGGGGCTGGGAGGGCCAGGGAGAGGACAGGAGGGCGTACAAGCTGGACTGGCAGCACTGAGAGTAGGCGAGCAGGAGGGAAACATTATCCCGTTCACCGAGTACGACATGGATATGCTGAACATCCTCTCGAAGGTCGCTGCAACTCGCTCCTACCTCCTCCGGTGACATCCAGGTGGGCAGGAGCTGGCGGGTGGGCTGAGGAGGAAGGCAGTGGAGTTCACATTCGATCGTGTGCTGGGTGAGGCTCGTGGAGATGAGGAGGCGAGCGATCATCGCTGAGCAGGACGAGCGGCATCCTCCCTGTCGGAGGAAGACAAACGCCAGGCCTCCTTCTTGCAGAGTTTCTACCAGTCTCCTTCCCGTGTGTGAGTGACGTGGTGGTGGTGGAGGAGGAGGAGGAGGAGGAGAAGTGAGGACCCTGACTGGGCGCAGGGACATGCGCCGGGGATCCTCTACAGAGACGGAGAAGGTCAAGGAAAGCATCACGAGTAAGGCCGAGCATACATTCGACCTCCACATCTCCTTTCCCTCCTCCTCCTCCTCCTCTCCCCCCCCCTCCTCCTCTCAGACAAGGAACGGGAAGAGGACGAGCAACACGCCAGAACCCCAGGATGGAACCGCTTCTCGCCGATGAGCAGGAGGC